AGTGACTTCTAAGTAAAGTGTGCCTATGGAAATGAAAATAGGTATTATTGTTTAAAAACAAAACTCATACAAAATCCATAGAATTCTTTTGTCTGGTTTTCTCAAGAATGTATTCAGGCTGTAATTTAAACAAGAAAGTGTCACTTTGGTATAAGCATCTTTTTCTGATTCTGACATAACTTGGATGTTCTTTTTTGAATAGGGAAAACTGTATTGACAGCTGATTTTTGTGTTCTGTTTCTTTACAGTGCATTTGCTCGATACCCTAATGCAATAGTTGTGCATTACTTCTGCTCCAAAGAAGTCAACACGTTGGACACCTGACCTTATTGAGGTCAATAATCCCAACTTACATATGGAATTCAGGACTGACTTAAGAAGTTGAAGCCTCTGAAATTTTTTGAGGCTTGTTGCTAGGTTCACTTATACTGGATGGAAGTAGTTTGTATCCGTGGACTGACTGCACCTATCTGGCAATATTGACTTACTAGAAAATTACTTTAACCATGTTGTTATAGTGCTAGCAACTACACTGAACCCTTCGGTATGCAGATGAAGAATAGAAACTGATTTTTGTAGTGAGTTTTGTATTGCACTCCAACCTTGCGAATGAGTTGTTAGACAACTGCTGGGCGTTCATCACAAGTCAAGTTTTACTATAAAACTTACCTCCTTAGGGTGGCAATGTTGTGATTTGGCCTTGTATGTAAATAGTTCTTAAAAAAAAAAAAAATTCCTTTAAAGTCTTTGCAGCTGTATCAGTGTTGCATGGAGATCACCAGGTATTTGGCATAGAGAAGGCTTCTGTGCCTATTTCTAGACCTAGAATATAAATACAATTTTACTTTCATCTCAGTAATGGGAATGTTGAAATGCTGGCCAAAGGAATCTTTTTATTGATATTCAGTGTTATCACCTGACCTTCTGATAAGAAGTTCCACAGGAGATAGTCGGGTAAACAGTAGATACCACTAGTAAGCATTTTTTTTCTTTTTACTTTAGATTGAGCTGTAAATTGAATTAACTTGTGTGTTGTTTGCACTGAATACGTTCACTCTTAGCATGAGTGGAAGCTCGGAGACTATTCAAAGAAGTTCACATCTGCACGCATACCAAAAAGCAAAGAACACCCTGTAAAGCAACTTCTGAAGGGAGTGAACTGTAGTTATTACTTAAGCTTCTAGACTATACTTGAGATTTGTGTATATAAGTTCTTTGGTCTCTGGTTCACTTTCCAGCATGGAAGTAAAATCCAGACTATTTCAGCATCTCTATTTTAAATGGTCTAGAACTGTGTTCTGCTCAGGCTGGTACTGTTCTTAGTTACTCTTGGGCCAGAAGTCTTAACTACAAGAACTAGATTGTACCATACTCCTTGTACGCTGTAATATTTTTGTCTAACTTATTTTTCCACAAACTTTACTTTATAGCAGATTGGTATGAGGGATATTAAAATGTTTGATCAGTGCAGAAAGAATCTGTGCAGTGGTAATGAAAAGGCAGCAGTAGCAAATAACCCAACAGAGTGGCTATTTGACTGTCATCATCCTGGTCTAGCAGTACTTATAAATATGTAATTATTAAATAGTATGGAGCATGGCATGTAACTACCAGATATCGCCTCTTAACAAACAAGTAGACGAATAAAGCCTGTCTGCCTAAGGTGTGATTGGATCTTAGTTAACATTATAGGTTTATTTAAGCCATTGTTACATGTTTTTTAAGAACAGATCTGCTGTAGGCTGACAAGAGTCCTAATTCACTTTCATTTGCCAGTATTAATAGTTTCCCTTGATAACTCTTTCTTTGTGTTTGTTCATAGATTGCTCATATGCCATGCATTCTTACCGAATTCTTGGTTCCGTGTTTTGCTACTTGTGTACTTGGATGTCTTGGGCAGTATTGCTACTGATGTCTTTCTGCAGAGGCTGGGTAGAGGGACTCTGTGGTGTTAATGTTTTTAACCTTGTATTTCTTCTATTTGAAGAAGAGAGCCTAAAAGTACTTATATTGGATTTGCACATTCTGTATAGATCTTTATATACTAGTTCAGGTACGGAGGGAAGATGGTTTGGGAGAGTTGTGTTTACAGGTCATTGGGAATGAAAGAAGGGTATTTAAAAAGGCCCTTTATTCTTTGTATACAGATGTAACAATATTGTTATGATTTTTACCTATCTTATTTAGTACTGTTAGTCTGATTTTTATTTACCTTCATTATCTGCTACCAGGAGAGCTGTACTCACATATGAGGATCTTCATTGTGCTCTTACATGGTTAAGGTTGTGCCTCTGTTCACCTCCATTGCATACCTTTTACAGAGATGCGGTTTGTGCTGTAAATTTTTTTGTTGGTTCTTATAATGTGGTTTTCGTTTACTAACCATACAGCAGGTTTATCTAAAGCAATAGATTGTAATAAATATTGTGAACCAGTGTGTGTTTCAGTCATTGTGCAGTTAAGCTTCTCTGGGCTGCTGTAGGTTTTTTTTCTAAAATATATATTAATCCTCACTTTCTCCTGGAAGTCAGACCCAATGCAGGGGCTTCCAGTATCACTCCTGCTTTAGTATGTGTAATTCAAATGAGGCCATATCATATGAAAGCTGTCATCACTTCTCAACTTCGAATTTTAAATCTACATGTTTATAGTATACTTGTGAATGTTCTCAAAATCCTACTAAACCCACTTTTGTATTCTCTCTTTGAATAATGTTTTTGAAAGTCTTATACCATTAAATATGTACTTATTAGAGAACACTAAAATTACTGAATTTTTTTTTTTGAGTGGTGGTATGCTATTTTGGTGTGGGGAGGGATGTTGAGCTCTGTGTGACCAAATCAGGAAATGTTTACATTCACAGGTTAACAGTTGCTTGAATTGTAGGTCACAGACTAGTCTAGTTTTGGAAGTAGAATATAGATCTTCAGTTTTCCCATTCTATAGGAATGGGAGATACCAGTATCAGCACTGACGGAAGAGTCTTTTGTCTCTGTGTCAGACAATTAAGTATATTGGTATTTCTGGAGAAGACCAACTGACCAAAAACCCCCAAACTGAAACCTTGATAGCATCCTTTTGGAATCTTCATCTCTTCCAATTACATACTGCATCTCAGCTCTTCTCTTAGTGCTGCTAATGGGAGCAAAAGGGGTCTCTTGCGATAGCTGTGTACATTTTAAGTACTATACAGTATAGTTGGTGTCATTTTTTTCATGCTTGCTGACAAAAAAAACCTGAATGAAATAAAGATACACATTTACCTTTACCATTAAGGGGATTCTAATCCAAGCACAAGTAAAGTTACCAGGTGTGAGGCCATCTATGTTGCCTAATGTTTTGATGCTGTTTCACTTGCTTGTTTTCTTAGTCTGCTAGGAAATGACAAAAGCAAGTAGCTTCTCTTTGGATATTAAGTTGGCTGTCAACGGTATCTGTAGATAGCTAGAACTGCACGCAAACGCTGGTTGCTCAGGGATGATCTGATGATAGGAAACAATTCTTAAGCTTATGTTCTAAAGAGCAGTTTTTCTTGAGAGAGAAATTCAAGAGAAACTCTGTAACCATGAGATCCCTCTGCTGAGATTTCATTGGAAGAGGAAAGAGAGTTTCAGGAGAAGGCAGGTAACTTAGGCACTCACAAGATAAAATACAGGTCTTATATACTGCCTGTAATAAACTGCTTAGAGTAAGTGTGATTTCTTTGTGTTAGCTTACTGTGTGAGGCTGCCTCAATTTTCCTGTAATTTATAATTGAGCTATATTGGACTAAATATAAATAAATCACACTTATGGTTCTGCAATTTTTTGATGATAAATAAAACCTTTCAATTCAGTGGCATGTAGAAATGCAAAGAAATTGCTTTTTCAACCCAGTGTCTGTCTTTACCGTACTATTTAGTATTATACGAGAGCTTTACAGCAGTTGCTGGCTGTTTTGCAATGGGATTATGTTTGCTTTTTTGCCTGTGTGTTGGCTCTTAAGTCTGTGACTTCACTAATTAGTACTGACTTGTTTGTGTTCTAAATGTCAGTGCCTATGCTTTTATTAATTTTCTTAAATTCTGATCTAGTGACTGGCACTAATGACAGGAAATGATCAATGAATGGGACCTTGCTGACAATGTGTCACATTCTCATGTTTGTGTGGAGCTGCTGCATTGCTGGCTTTCATACATTCTCTGCCACTTTCTAATTGTTGAAACACTTAAGTTTGTTTTTTTGGTCTGCTGCTTCAGTTTAAGCTCTTTAATAGAAAGCTCCAGACAAGCCAACTATCAGCAGCTGTTAATAAACTAATCTCTTCCAGTAAACAATTTCCTTTACTACTTAAATTTTTTAAGGCACAATAGACTCATAAAAAATCTGCCCTGTTGTACAATTTTTCAAGAAGCTTTTGTGGGAGAATCAAAGACCATGCTACATGGAAATGAGAATAAAGGGTGGACTTGGGGAAGCCGCTCATGTAACGAGAGGTTAGACGTGGTGGTGAATTGATACTCAGAGGCACCCTAATGCAAACCAAACTGTGGTGTCTGCTCAGGCCTCTCTGAACAACTGAGGCCAATGTCAAATTTGGCTTTGCTTCAGGCTTGTAAGATGGGAATTTCTATTCATAAATATTCTTTTAGGGTATGTTGAAACTCTGAAAGGTTTTAAAACAGTCAAAATCCTAGATCAGGTTGCTGGAACTGCGAAAGAAAAATCTGTACTGGGGGTTTAAGGTTGTGGCTTCCTCCCACCCAGAGCTTCCCTGTTCGGTGCTCCTTTGCTGCCCTTATCTCTTACCAGCGTCTGAAAAACCTGCCAGCGAGGTTCTGAACTGGGTAGTTTGGGGAGCGTGGGCCACACCTCCGCTGCTGGCAGCTGGAGCACAGCCCAGTCCTGCGCAAAACTTGAGGCTGAGCCTGTGGCAAGCGGCCCTCCGCAGCCAGGCATCCGGGGGCTCTTCTTGACTTTCCCTGACAGGTTTTCTGAGGAGACGACAGGACGTTTTTCCCATGTTCCATGAGGTGCTGCGGTGCCCGTTTCCACCCAGAGTGCTGCCTCTTCTGGCAGCTGTGCTTTTCCAAAGGAAGGAGAGGAAAGAGACTGGGTTTTATCACTGGCGGGTAAGACAAATTTTAACACTGTCTTTGAGGTGGCATTCTTTAGCTTGTGTGTTTGGCAGTGGCTCCCTGTTACTGCACGTGTGGAAAACCAGTCCTATATTTCTACAGGAATTAATCAAAAAGTTTATCATTGGGGGGAAATTTTGGGGACCAATACTAACGTAGATTCCAGGTTTTTACTAACTTTGGGGTCTGTGTAAGGCAATGCAGAGCGGCTCTCTGTTTCCTTAGGTTTTGGGGAACAGAATTAAGCTTGGGGGGAAATGCCAGCATACTGGGCTTCTCATCAGTAAAGACAAAATGATGGTTATGTGTTTTCTTACAAAATATCCTTGATTACCATTCTCTCCCTTTTCCTTATTCCACAGGGCTTAATAATGTAAAGTAGACAATGATTAACGATGACTTCACCCCGTTCATAATGCAGTGCAATCACATTAGATAAAGTGGTTTCAATATGTTTGCCCTTCAAATGGTTTATAATCATTCCATTGTATAAGACAGTCCGGCCAATACCCTCAATTTTGAATTGCACTGAACTGTTTGCAAAGGAACCTTTGCATAGGAGAGCTGATCTGTTTTCTGATTACCTGTCCCCCCCTAAATCTACAGCTTAAAATTGAGGTGAGCGTTAAATGTCACAAGCTGGCTTGTTGCCTGTGTGCCTCTCTGCACTCCTGCTTGCAGCGTGACTAAAAATTGTCTCGTTAACTTTTATGTTGTTCTTTAATTCTTGGGAAATCCGTGTAGAAGAGACTAGTGTTAGCCTGCTGTGATTGCTATTAGCCACTGGATGTGAGGTTTCCCCTCAGGTGCTCGCTATAGAAATAAATAAAAAAATTAGACACTACTTAGTGAAGTTATGCTGGCTGGTCGGGAGAGATTTTCTACGGACTAGTTAATAGCTACTGAGCAAGGGGAGGGGCAGCAGAATAACTTTTTGGCTTTGTAGGTGAATTCAATATGATTAGATCTCTTTAACTTTCCAAAGTTTAGCCTTAGTTTCACACATCTAAAGACAAACAACATAAACTGAGAGCGAGCCTAGTGTTTGCCACTGTTGTTGTGATACTGAGCTGCTTGTGCTACTCCTATGACCTGACTGGTTATAAAGCTTGCCTTCCAGAAGACTGTGGTTCTTAGGGCTGGGTCTGAAGTAGTCTTTTGTGACTGTGAGGTGCATGCCTCTGGAGGAGGTGGGAAAATGCAAACAGTGCCTAGGAAAGCCAGGAGCTTGCTTTTGGTTTTAAAAGCAAACTTGTGGCGCTGTGGCTGAAATGAGGAAGGAAATTACAGGCAAGATGGGAGGAAAGTGCTCCCTTGGTAAATTGGACATTTCTTTGAGCTACCTGATTTGCCAAGTAGCACTGGACACAAAATATGGCTTAGAAGTTAAATTTTTACTTGCTATTGACAACGTTTCTGTAATGAAACTGGCATGCTTATTGCGAGTCCTCTGCATTTACTGAGAGATGTGGAGTGGATCCCAGCACTTCCTGTATGAAGGCAGCTGTTCAGGGCTCTGTGAGAGTAAAGACTACTGGGTCCTGTAGCTGGGATAACCTGAAGTTGCTTGCTACTGCATCAGCACCTTCAGTTTAGATGGAAGATACAGACAGTTGTTAGCAGGGTTAAGTGTTTGAGAATTCGGTCTTGAACTCTCATTTAAGGATTTCAAGTTTTTGCTTCAGATGCACTTTCCCGTGCTCTGGAAAAGGGATGATTCTGAAAAATCATTAAACTTCAAACTAGAAATTAGTTGTTTGCATCTGTCGTATACATTGGTGTGTTGTCACATACACTGATATAGGCAGAACCATTATTATTTGTTCATTTCCTATACAGATTTCTTGCCTGAATTTTCCCTGATGTGTTCAGATATCTGATACTCTCATGCTTCATTACTCCGCAAGCTCTCTTTCTAACGTGTTATGACCTTGCTGTGCCTTCGCTAAAAGACAAGTAGGAAAGGCACATGGGAAGGTTCTGGCATAATTAACAGCACAGACTTGGGTGCACAATTAAATGTCTGTTGCATTAGATGTCCTTAAATTATGTGGGTGTGTAAAATGTATCCTCAGCTGTGTGATGACTGACTACAAATCAACAGTTGTTAGAGACCTTTGGAAAGGACTTTCTTTTGAACATGTAACTATGTTGACAGATTGTATGCAGTAAAAGAGGGATATACTATCTTCAGGGTGTTCTGTGCTTCCTCCGCTGAATTCCTCTGCGTCTGAATTCCAGGTGGTAGTCAGGCTACCTGAGTGAAGATTGCTTTGACAGCAGTGGGGGTGTGATCATGTAGCTTCATTTCTCAACAACCTGAAGAGTTGCAGCACCTTTAGGAATTCAGTGAGAATAATCTATGCAATCTTGAATTTATCTCTGTAGTCCATTTCCCAACTTGACAATGTAGAAAGGAGGTCAGGCTTTGCCTGAGAAACTAATGTCAGTGATTGAACAAAATAGAGTTGATTAGGAAAGGGTTTAAAAAGGAAGAAAAACTAGCATCTGAAGGGTAGAGCTCATGGTGAAATTCAATGTGAAGGCATGTCTTGTTCCCAGAAACAAATGAAGGAAAGAGTATCTGCAACATGTTGATGCTGCAAATAAGAGCACTCTAAGAGTAATAACAGTATAATTGGAGTTTATTAGCACAAATTGAATTTGACACCTGCCTGTGAGATATCTGTGTTTAATTTTTTACCTCCACTTGTTGGTCAGGGCAGATGGCACTGACTCAATACAAAGATATTTAGTACACTATATATGTCTTGGTTTTATTGTGTTGTTCAAACTCTGTTTTGCAGAAGCTGGCAAGTATCTTGAACTGATAAGAAATAAGGAAAACTCCAACAGTATGTCACTGCTTAGTGAACATAGTACAGTTCCATTTATCAGATAAGGAATATTCAAGAAGAGTTTGGTAGTTCAGGGTTCATTGATTTTCTCGAGATCCTAGTTAGCTATATGTAGGGCCTGTATTTCTATGTAATATTTGGCACTCAGCAGCATTTTGTTGTAAGCAAAAATCTTGTTGAATTCAGTTGTAGATGAATACTTGGCTTGAGACCAGAGTTTAATTTCAGATATACTAACCATGTAGAAAATGATAAATGTGAAGTAGTGACCACTTGTGAAAAGCATTTTGAAATGGGATTTAAGAATAGAAAAGGTTCTTAGCTGGCCAGGATTGTGTCATAACTGATGGAAAGGAGGCAGAATCCCATTCTGTCCATGAGCCTTACACAATTGCTTCTGTACGGTTTCTGCACTAAACCCCTTCAAGCTCTTTTGTCTTGTCTTCCCCTGCCCTTGCTGCTCATTCTCCTTCATGATCTTCTAGGTTTCAGTCAGGCTTTTCTTTCCTCTTCACATCCAGGCATTTAGATACTAGTATTACTTTCCAAAAATAGCCTCCCAGAAGCTTTCAAGAGCACGGATTATGTTTTTATCTATGCTGGTAAAGTGGCATGCATGTTACTGGCCAATACCAGTAACAGTCGAGAATGAATAGGAATTTAAGGTTTGTCTTTTCTTGCTCAAACTGCTGTAAAGTATGTGTTCCTGTAAGAAAATGGGGTTGTTTTCTCATTGTAAACAGCATATGCTTTCTGTCCTTAGACCTTGCCATGTCTTACTCAGGCATGCGTGTGCCCTTGACAAGTACTCTTACACTAGCCAAGTCATGATTAAAATTATTTGAGCAGCTTCAGTGTCTGTTTATCCTTCAGCAGGCATGAACTAATGAAGCAAGTAGAAACTGATCTATAATTAGAGGAAACCCTAAATAAGAGACTTATTTTCTGAAGTCCATGAGAAGTTACCCTAAGACATCAGTCATTGCTGCATGAAAGGGAATTTAGTTTCATTCTAGACTCCTTTAGTCTTCCTCCAGGACACTGCAAGCACTGTGTATGTTTCCAGATTGACTCATTAATAGTTTATTTTGGGCTGACTGGTCTGATCCATTCCTCTGGACTGATTCTAGAGTGGTTATAGAACAGGCATTGCAGTTGTTACATGCTGAGCTTGTTCTTTTTTCAGTGGGAGAAACACCCTTACTACAACCTAACAGTAAAAGTCCTCCGAGCCAGAAACATCAAGGGTACAGATCTGTGTAAGTATTTAATCAAGGTATTATGAAAACAGATGACTTGTTCAGTGCATGGCTGTAACACAGATAGCATTGTTATGGGAACTTCTTACCTCCGCTTAGTGTATTGCATTTATGTCTGAACAAAAGCTTCTCTTGTAGAGCATTATAGATATCTTAAAGGCTTGATCTAAGGCCAAGCTGCAAATTAACCCTGCTACTTTGCAGAACAAAATCAGATAAGTCCTGGTAACTCTTTACTTCCCTGCTCCTTTATATATCCTACTGTGACCCGCTGGTCGTGGCAAATTTCACTCTTGCTGCTGCACAGTCTTCTTGCACCTGGAAGTAGCACTCTTCAGTTCTTGCTTCCAAATGTTTTTTTTCTCGGTTGTGGTAATGCCTTTTTTCATCTGTCTGCTATTTTGGTTATGCTGTTGAAGATTTTTAAGGATGTAGGTGGTTCCAAGGCAAACTGCTTTTTACCTGTCCCTGGCTTTTATAGCATGGTATATATTCCCTTCCTCTTACACATCTGCGTTGCCTAAACCTCTCAGGGCTGTTTGGGGGCAATTGGATATTTAAAACTCATTTGAGATTTAATTCCTTCACATTTAATACGGTAAGGTAGCCTGCTTGCCCTAAGTTTATATCTGGCATCCAATATCAAACTACTGGAATGTATATGACTGTCCAGGGAATGAAAAACTGTCCTGAAAGGCTGAGGGCTAGAATCGCACTGTGAAAAGAAGTTTTTTGGGTTTTTTAATGGCCTTTCTGCTCAACTGGAGTGAAGAATGGTTCCTGTACTTGTGTTGTTAAAGGGGCCTTAACAGTAAGAAGGAAGGATTCTGAGACAAACAGTTATTTTCAAGGCATGGAAACAGAAAGCTCAGCTCATGGCCAAACTAGATGAGGTTATAGCAGTGGGTGGATATTGTCTATTGGACTTTAGTAAGGCTTTTAACACTGTCTCTCATAAGATTCTCATAGAGAAGCTGATAAGGTATGGGCTGGATGAGCAGACAAGGAGTTGGACTGAAAACTGGCTGAATGGCAGAGCTCAGAGGGTGGTGATCAGTGATACAAAGTCTAGTTGGAAGCCAGTAACTAGCGGTGTAACCTAGGGGTCAATTCTGGGTCCCATATTTTTCAATGTCTTCATTAATGGTCTGGATGATGGAGCAGAGGATAGTGTCAGCAAGTCTGCTGATGTTACAAACCTGGGAGGAGTGACTGGTACACCTAAAGGGTCACACTGCTACCCAGAGGGACCTCAGCAGGCTGGAAAAGTGGCCTAACAGGAAACTCATGCAGTTCAACAAAAAGAAGTGGAAGTCCTGCATCTGGGGAGGAACAACCCTATGCACCAGTTTCCAGGCTGATAGGCTGGAAAACAGCTTTGCAGTAAAGGACCTGGGGGTCCTGGTGGACAGCAAGCTGACCATAAGCTAGCAATGTGCCCTTGCAGCGGGGAGGGCTAACAGTATCCTGGGTTGTGTTAGGAGGAGCATTGCCAAAAGAATGAGGGAGGTGATCCTTCCCCTCTACTTGGCACTGATGAGGCTGCATCTGGAGTACTATGTCTAGTTCTGGGCTCTTCACTACAAGAGTTATTGGAGCTATTGAAGAGAGTAGTGAATGGCCACTAAGACTTTAAACAGACTGGAGCATCTATCATATTGAGGGAAGGCTGAGAGATCTGGGACTGCTTAGCCTGCAGAAGAGAAGGCTCAGGGGATCTTGTCGATGTGTACAGGTGTCTGAAAGGAGATTGTTAAGAAGATGGGGTCAGACTCTCAGTGGTGCCCAGTGACAGGACAAGGGCCTGATATCAGCAGTAATCTTTTTTAAAAGTTGATCTTCCTCATTTTGAATAGTAGTGTCTTTTATGAAGTGTTTTATGGTTTGGATGAACCAGAAAAAAGAAATATTAAAGACGTGTACTTCATTAAAGGTTTTACAAGTCCAGCCTTAAATTTGTACGTTTCTGTGATTTAGTGAGATATAGAAAATATATATACTCATGGGACAGAGTATGTTTGATTACAGCCGTTCCTGCTGTCTGTGTCTATACTTTCTGCTATAGTGTCCAAGGCAGACTGCTATGTTGAACTAAAGCTGCCCACTGCATCTCCTGTGATCTCCAGAACTCACGTTGTTGACAACTCTGATAACCCAGAATGGAATGAAACTTTCCAGTATCGAATCCATAGTGCTATCAAGGTAAGGAGTACACTTTGTGGGGCTGGTTGAGCTACCTGCATTTGTGTATTGGCTTACTTTTGATGCTTAATTCAAAACTAAAGGATCTTTATTACCCTCAAAACCAATGTTGCTTGTGTCAGTCTTCAGTGGTACAAAAAGCTGTACTATGCATGTCCAGTGTTAACTATAGCAGCTTGTAATTTAGCTCATGCGAATTACAGCTAGAATTTTCCATAAATGTCCTTGTGATGCAACCCAGGAAAGGGAAGTTACAGCAGTACCTGGTAGAGTTGAAGGAAATTCCTTGATAAAGCAAATTTCTATTTGAGGATTGCTTCTACTTTCACAGAGTAGCTGTTGCCTTCTCTTGTATCTCTACTTGCCTTACTTGCCAAGTGCCTGAGTGAGGATAATGGGAACTAAATTTCAAATCACTTTGCCACTTGGTTCATTCAGTCAAGTTTTGCTACCAGTTCCTATGATCAAGAAAAGCAAAATTCAAACTCTTAGATAGAAATAGTACATCTGTCTGCTGCCTGAGCAGGACCTGATAGAGTACTGAACAAAGTCTTTAGACCATCAGCATTCATTCTCAAAGTAGACACTAAAGGTAGAGGGAAGGAAACTGTACTTTGAAAGATTAGTTTTAGTATGGCACTATAGCTTTGAATAACGTCCTAGGCTTTGGAATAAGGTGCTTATTAACAAGAAACTATCCCCCTCACTGAAGTACCTTTCCAAAATGGTTGGTGACAAAAGCAGAATGGTACTTGACTTAAATGGTAAGAAAATTGCAAACTAAGCTTTAGAGTGTGTGAGCTTTTTCTTCCCCTGCAGGCTCCTGAGGCCCCAATCTGGTTACTGCTGCATGGCTATGCCAGCACAATTCTAATTTCAGTCTTGTCTCCTTGAAAACTAGTTGCTGCAAGACCATTTTTTGGCTGCTATATGTACTCATTGTGTCTATTTCAATTAGTTTCTGCTGGACTAACCTGCTCTGAGACTGCAGAGCAGGAAGTGACAGGTCCCTATAACATCCCAGACTGAATCATACTGAAAGAGTGGAAATTGTTTTTGCTTCATCAGGCAAATGTGAGCCTGAATCTGGTAGGGAGTACTGCCATGTGCATTCAGCTGGGGCTTCTCTCTAGTTGGGAAGCTCGGAAAATCTTTTAGCTAATCAGTGTCAACTGAAAGCTTTTAGCTTAACTATGCTGTAAGTCCTGCTGGAAGTAGTGACTTCTCTTCATGAGTGGGAAAGGGGAAGGGTATTGATTAATGCATAAAGTGTCTATTGTGTACAGCTACTCAGGTTTGTGGAAGTGTTTCTGTCTCTTCATCTAAGGCTCTCTGGTTTTAGAACATTCTGGAATTGACACTCTATGATAAAGATGTCCTCATCAGCGATGAGCTCACGTCTATCGTCTTTGATGTAGGGGGCATGAAGCTGGGTCAGCCCCTGCTGCGCACTTTCACGTTGAACTCTGAGGTTAGTTCCTGCCTTCAACTGTGAATAGCTGCAGCTCATCATTACAGAAATCTGGCAGTACGTGCTGGTTGATCTGTCTGTGTTGTAGAAGCTGGAAGGGGCAAATGCCTCAGCAGGTGATGACAGCTGTCCTGGTTCTGGCTAGGATAGAGTTATGTAGCCCCTCCACTACCAAAACCTTGCCACACAAACCCAATACAACAGCGTACGTGGTTTTACTGTCATCTGAGATGTTTCCAAAATCCCTAGCATTTTGGGGTTGGTTTTTTTTTTTTTTTTTTGGTGTGTGTTCAACAGTCTTTGGGATGCCCAGCTAAATGAAACTTGGGATGACTGCTGTCTTTCAGAAGATGTCAAAACACCTTTTAAGGGAATTGGTTTTTCAGGAGACTAGAGAGGCATAAATTGGGCTTAAAATGAAAGGCATTTGCAGTCAGCAGTCATTCTGGGGACTGCAGACTGTCTTATTTAGTTGATCATCATCAGTTTGCAGTGAAGAAGTTTACTGCTGCAAAAGTTACCTCTATATTTAATAAGTAAAAATCCTAAGAAAAGCTTATTTTCCCTGAGTTACGTTCAGTTACTTTTAACCTCTGCTTTGTGTAGGTGACATTGGTGCATATCAGCTGTTCTCAGGCCCTGTGCACCTGTTCATGGACTTATAACAAGATGGTTTGTTTTGCATAGCTAAACCTGTATCACCAGTCTGATCTTTTTTGTAACTGCCTCACATTGCTACAATACTTCTGGAGAAATCGGGCTTCAGTCCTGTTGATGTGGTCAGAAGCAGACTAACTGGTATGGAGTTACCAGGGAGTTGTTGGTCAGTGTCACAGGCACTCTAAATGATTTGTGATGGTGGAAAGAGGCTTAGTAACTCCTTTGTTCCCACTAACTCTATCCTGTTTGCTGAATGCTTAAGTCATCTTGATCACTAATTGTGGAACTTCAACTTCAGTAAAGAGAATTACCCAAATTGGCTTCTACTTGTTTTTTTTTCTTTTCCTCATTAGTAGAGTAATGGATCTGAGAGTCAACTCTCACTTGCGTGTGCTTGTCTCCTCAAGTGTAATGTGTCTGATCATGTAGGATATGCCCAGGAAGAGTGGAATGTTTAAAGACCAACAACAACAGACATAAATTCAAACATTCCAAAATATAATGGGAGCTTTAACAGTTTAACAGTTAAGATAGTTACTATAGTTTGTAACAGGAAGAAGGCTTTATCTCTTGGAAAAACTTCTCATAATTCTATTCAAGATCAAGGGTCACCCGTATCCAACTTTTATTTTTAAAGGCTAATGAAGAGCTGGATGTAGAGTTTTACTTGGAAAAATGGTGAGTCTTGCCTGAAGAGCTGAATGAACTTGTGCTCTGCAGATACGTTGTCTTAGTTGCTTTTGCTGTGCAAGACAGTCTTGCCTATGAGAAGGCTAATGCTTTACAGTTCTCTGTGATGTTCGAGTTGATTTACCAATGGGTGATCACAAATATCCTTAAAGCTGCAGTTACCAAAATTTTTGGGTACCAAAAAAGAAAGAAAACTTTGGACCTCATGGGAATGGTAGTGCTGTAAAGGAAACGAACATTTTATGGATGAGTTACTTAAGAGTGGAAAGCTTACACAGTTAACCTTGCAATATAAACAAGTTTATCTATCTGATAGAGAAAAGCTGAGGTCAGATAGACTATGTTATCAAAATAACTGAGATGGGGAGACCTTATAGCACATGCTTATAGTTGCAGAGGAATTTTTTTCTTCAGTACTTTTCCCCCCGTTGTTCTGTGAAGGGAAATAACTTGGCATCAGTCTAGTTTGCATAGGTGTGTCGCACTGAGTACGTTTCTCCCCCGCTTCTTATCCAGGCAGTTTGTAAAGTAGAATGAAGCAAATTAATGCCGCAGCACACTTGCATTATATCTCTTCCTTTCACAGCTCTGATGCCCCTACAGAGGTATTGACCAATGGAGTCCTTGTGGTGAGTACATAGAAGTCAATTACATATGTGTTGGGATTTACTCCTGAAGGTATGTTTTTAGTAGTGAGAGGACAAGAATTGTTGAGAATTCAACTCCTGCATCCAAATAGCTCCTATTCTTTCCAGCATCTCCCTCTCTTTTTTAATTTGCTGGTTTAAAAAGCTTCTGCAATTTTTAAAACTTGATACCAACTCACAGAAAGTGTTCTTTGTTTGTTTTTTGTGTGTTTTTTTTTTTTTTTCCACTGGGGCTGTTTTAAAAGATGTAAGCAAAAAAAGTTTTTAGGAGGCTAGTGAGTCTTGCAGATTGTACTGAATTTTCTAGCCTAGATGCTGGCTAGGTATAACACCCACCCCCCACCCCCCCATCTTAACACCTGTTATTTCTAACATTTTTTCAGTGCCACTAGTAAGTAGGTGATAACTCTTGAGTCTGACAATGGGAGGCTTCATCTTGAGGGATTTGTCCATTCTCTTGGGGTAATCAGTCTAAGAAAATCAGTGTGTCACACATTAAAAATACAGGTGTTACCACCAGTTTTCTGCCCCCCCCCCCCAAGGACAGGGATTGGAGTGATGTTTTTCAATAAGGAGAAAAGGATGGCAAAGAGTTAATCATTATTGAAATGAAGAATTTTAACATTTTTTCAGGAAAAATCTGTGTCATTTAACAGCACAGTTCTGCAAAATATTTCACAGGAGAGAGTCTTTTGTGTTCCTATTTCCCTTAGCAAATCAGTCTTACATTCAAGCAGTGGAATAGTTTTGTATCTTTTAGATCAATTATAGCCAATTAAGTATCTCATCTGCTGTCCTAGAAGGGAAGCTGATGATTGAATGGTGTGAGAGACTAAATTTTGTGAGGACATGGACAATCCAGGACAGAAAGTCATGGCAGAATTTATGAAGTGCTTGCAGTAAGTAACTGCAATAGGAAGGGTGGTTTTGATTTTGAAACAAGAGCAAACAATCCTGTCCTACTGAAACAAAACTTGCTCTTATTTGAAAGATCAAAATAATCCTCAGTGTTTTTTGACAGCTTGCAGCTGTAAACCTACACCTGCTATAGTAGGTGGATTAAGCTTCAACAAAGCAGCAAACTAAAATCTCATAACCAGAGCTGGTTTCTTTTCGTAGGTTCGTCCTTGCTTGTCTCTGCAAGGCACTGTCAACAAAGAGGAAAAAGCAAAAGAGAAACAGCAAGGTATGACTGTCTGCAGAGTTTAAAGTCAGATCTACTTTTCAGCATGTTTATTCCTTAGGAGAGAAGGGACACTTGATTCTCTGTATATACAGTGCATTTTTATTTATTCTCTACAAAATGGACTCTTAAAATTAATTTTGCTTTTATTTTTAATACTAAATAACATTGGGTCAGTTCCATTTCCACTGCATACCACAAACGAGTTTCTGCTTCTGTTTCCATAGTCTCAGCTACACTTAACAAGTATCTGATTTTCAACACTTATTTAAAAGGCTCCTGCAGTCTAAACTTCTTATTCTAATGTGCAGGGAGCTGTGAGGTCAAGCTGTCTGTTCCAGGCGCATATCAGAAGCAATTGTGTATTCCTTGGAGACCGGACAATGAGAAGGATTATGGAACCTCATTTGTCTTTCATGTGGATAAAGAGATGTGTCCAGAACTGCAAGTGGAGCTGGAGCAAACCATATCTGTCCTACAGGTAGAGCATCTGCACTGACTGCTAGGAAGTTTACAACCCACTTTTGAATAAATCCACTCTGAAACCAGTGCCTTTGGTCCATGAAAATGTCTTTAAACATAAATTGAACAGCCTTGATTTGATCATAAGGTGGCCAGGGACTTCTTCAGATGTTCAGGGTTGTCAGTTTTGGGTATGCTATTCAGGTACGTGTGGATGCCAAAAGCTTGCATTAGAAGCAAGTTTCTTGTGGAGTACAGTATTCTACGTACATGGAGCTAGGGACCATCTATTATGAAGGTTACTCAGCACTTCCAGACCTTTTTGATCCAACTTAACTCTGTAATGTTGTAACTGCTCAGATCAAAATTTTCTAGGCTAGAAGCCTGTCTTGAATGGATGTTTTATTTTTCTGATTGTGTATTAGGAATTTATGGGCAGAGAGGTAAGTGTTTCTCTAACATTGCTTTTTGCACACTATTTTTTATTTATCCTTGACATTGGGTAAGGAGGTGAACTTGTCTTAAAGTTATACCCTTCCCAACACTTTAAAATATGTTCAAACTTGGGGGTTAAAAAATCTGAATCTGCACATGCTTGCTACATGAAGACATCTTTATTTTCAGCTGTTGAGATACTCTATAGCAGGTCTTTTCTGTTAGAAACTTGTGGAGCGTGTGCCGCTTGCAAAGGTTTATTTGGCTTTGTCTATCACTTCACAGTTTCTACAGGTACCCATGCAGCGTGTGTATCCCATAGGAGTGACTGAATGTTCATTGTGATGACTGCTGCCAGTATGGCTAGGCACCAAAAATGAGAGCAAGGAAATTATTTATTCTGTGATATTATTCATGCCCACAAGCATTTGGGCAGCATGAAAGCAGATGGTGATCTTGACTACTCTAGAGGCAGTTATGGAGAACACAGAAAGGAACATGGAAGAATAGCTTTGCAGTGAGGTAGGCTGGGCAGCAAACATAAGAAGGAGAGAGAGAGAGAGATAGTCTTAAGTAGTCAAAAACATGGTAGAAGTCAACCATGGAGATTGGCCCAGGTGGTAAACCTGAACCAAACCATCCCCGGTAGCTAGCAGAACATACTCCTTCAAGAGCTGGCATAGAGCACAAAGCTATCCAGTCTCACCTTTCCCCTCTTATCAGAGGTAGGAAAATGCCAGGAACGTAGTAATGTTGCTTGCCCTGTACCTAAATGCATGTTATTTGCCCCTGCTATGGGGAGGACAGTGGCCTTAGAAGGACTCAGGACAGCTGGTTTTGGTCAGAAGACATCTGTGAAATCTATGGGTAGTTCTTTGTCTCCAGTTCTTGTTGTGAGAAGGGTGACAACCTGTTGTTTCTTTAGGATGCTGTCCCCTCCCAAGGGTTGAGGCCTGTGGTGGGTGGAAAGGCTCCAGCCCACCTGGTAGGCTCTGTAGGTTTGAGTGTGGCCCTGTGATATGAGGGGTTTTTTAAGGTGCATCTCTTAAATTTAGGAATCTGCACGCAACTCTGTATTGAGAGAGCTTGCTACTTGCTAATACAACATGGCAAAGCTTAATTTGCTCTGCTTGTAAAGATGATTATGGTTTTTTTATTACATGCTCCCATTTGTCCCTAAGCCTATTATCTTAGTTCCTATTCTGTGTTATTTTTTTCTGAATGACTAATGCTGTTGCCTTGTGTTATCTTTTCCAAAACCTGCTGCGAAGACAGAATGCAAGTTTGCTTGTAAGCTTTCTGACACGTGTCAGAACACAACTATTTTCAGGGAAAAATTTATATTTGGAGATGAAGATTTTTTGCTTGTGACAGACAGCTATATTTAAAAAAAAAAAAAAAAGCAGCTATTTCAGTGACAGAAATAATCCCAGCAAAGAGCTGTCAAGCAGAGAGCAGGATGATCTTGAAAAGCCTTAGACTTCTGGGAAAAATTTAGTTATAATGATATTAAGGATTGTTTGCTCTTTTGACTTATGAAATCTTTAACTTTTTTCTGGAGAGCTCAAATAACATCTTGTTTTTTATTAGGATGGTGTGAACCCTGATATTGAAAAGCATACAACAGTTCTGGGATTGGGGACTGTACCAGTTAATTCCCTTCCTATTGGACAAGAAGTTGATAGAGTCATTTCTCTGGGAGAGGTAACATCAATATTTTGCACTTGTTTTAACATGCTTGGGTTAATTTTTTCCGCCATTGCCTATAGGCATTTGGAAAGTTAAGCTGCACATGATTCTTAGGAGTGCTGTTTTCTTGGAGATCTAGAATGAAATACTGAGATTACTCAGGGCAATTCTTCTAAAAATGTTTTTGTGGTTGTGTCTTGCAAAATAAGTATAAAGTTCACTTTCCAAAGCAAAAAGTATGTTAGGGGGTGAAAGAAATATATCGGAGGAGGAGAAAAGCAAGAAGCCTGCAGAAGAAATAATTTTTTTCACCCTGCTATCTGGGCACATGTTTTATTCCAGAGATGCAGTTTTGTGGGTGAGAGTGCTGTTCTGGTTAGTATCTAGTGACCCCGTTGATGTCAAAAGCTCTAGTTAGTAGTTCCACCTATGTAGTTGCTATCAATTGCAAGATGTGTTCTCTCTTTTCACAGGGACAAAGTTTGGATATGAGTTTGAAAACTGAAGAGAGGTGAGTGGGAACCCCAAAGACATCTCAAAACCAGGAAAGGCCTTTGTCTCATAGTGAAGGAGCTGAGTGACTCTCCCTGCTGTTCTGGGGAGATCTGTTGTCTCCACTGATCTCTTGGGATAGGTTAAAGAAAAATATTTTTAGTTATTTTTCTTCTGAAGGCTGCAATTCTTCACTTTGCAAATAGTATCTATTGGGTTGGTGTCGGTCCTAAACAAATTTCGTGTTCCTAATATTTAAATGTAAAATAGCTGATCGTGTAAGTATTAAGTAGCTTTGTTAGGTACAGATGGTTCCCAGGACGTGTGCAGTGCTGTACTGACAAATAGGAAAAGGTATTTCGGTGTGTGAAGAGCTTGAACTATAAAATAGAGGAAGGGTACAAGAAAGGAGTGATAAGGCAAGAATAACACACAAAACCGCGCAGTCGGCTAGTAAGTTGATAGGGTCATTTGCTATATAGTCATTAACTGAAGATCCTGATCTCCTTTTACAAACTAATGGCAAGTTTATTGGTATTCAGTTATCCCTTTCAGCCTCTCAAGTTCAGAAACTTCTGTTTTAAAATTGCTTTTCCCCTCGTTTCTCCATCCATGTCAATAGAGTGATCTCAGTTGCTCCTCATACAATCTTCTTCACCTACTGAGAATCTTTTCTTCCTTTTGTGAAATTCCTGAAGCTTAATCTGAATACTGTTTGACACAAGCTTTATATTTAGTCATTAAGGGAGAAATACAATTGGGAGAAGTTTCATTTTTAATTCCAAAAGCTGTTGTTACAAAATAGCTGGTGTACAGACATACACTGAAATGTCATTTAAGAGTTTGATCCAGTGATTCAGATTAGCACCTAGATTGTGTGTTCACAGAAATTGATTATCCCTGGTAATTACAATTCCACCAAAATTTGGGGGTTTTTTGTCTTAATTTCTATTTCAGCACTTGGGATCTTGATATACGTCTGGGTTTTGATCTCTGTAAAGGAGAGAGAGAATTTTTGGACAAAAGGAAGAAAATAGTTTCTGAGGCACTGAGGAAGACTCTTCACTTAAAAGAATCCCCTCCAAAACATGAGGTATTGAGCACAGTGCTGTAGTGAGATTTGTAAAATCCTTTGTGCTTGGCTAATAACCAGGTATTGTAGTATTTTTTACCTTAACCAACAGAAAGCGTGGTTCGTATTCACCATGGTATGAGATAGATTCCTGTGACATTTCAGTTCTGAAGTCTCGAATGTTGTTGTATTTCTAAAATTGAGGGATGTGTGCATTTTGGAACACCATTAAAATTTCAGAATGTATGTACTTTATTTAGTTGAACTGTTGTGTCTTGGGCTTTGAGCTCTGAATTGTGATGAGAAAGTCTGTTTCAGAATGGTTAAATTGAAGCTCAGACCACAGGAACAGTTTCCTAATTGCTGATTTGAGGACAGTGGACATTTAGAGAGCTTGATAGCTTGCTCTGTGCTATTTTAAGAAAGATTGCCTTTTTTTGTTCTTATGTGTATATTGTATGGCACACAAGTAAATGTGTGATGATATGCGTAACAATTTCAGTAAGTGACTGTCCCTAAGATGACACTGCTATGTTTTATAGTAAACAATATATTTCAAAGTAGAGAAAGGAGTTCTGGTTGAATTTAAACCTGAAGTTACTTGAAATGTAAATAGAAATAGATATTTTTATCTCTTATAAGAATGAGACTTAAATGGGATTAGTTATGTAATTTATTGGCAATTCAAAAGTCTGTGATTGTGACTCCTGAGTTTGCTGTCTGCAGGTTCCAGTCATAGCAGTACTGGGGTCTGGAGGTGGGATGAGAGCACTGACATCGTTCTATGGCAGTCTTGCTGGGCTTCAGCAGCTTGGCCTTTTGGATGCTGCAATGTATGTGTGTGGGATTTCTGGCTCTACTTGGTAAGTTACATGCAGTGTTGATTCCAGAAACTTGTAAGTGAATATGGTAGTGTTGGTGCAAAATAAGGCCCAAACTGCATTTGTGCCATCTGTAGACAGACAAGGGAGTCAAATATTTAATCGGTTCTCCTCTGTGAGTTCTGATGGGGATCCTAAGGAGTTTGAGATTTGTTATCACTTCTAACCCATACAGCTATTGGCTAAATTTATTAATTTGCTGCTTTTGCAAGCCTGGCAGTTGAATGTTAGAACATGAATAAAACTGCTGTGTGTTTCCCACAGAGCCCTGACTTCAAAAACTTTTTCCATTTCCTTTCTCTTGCCAAGAAGATAACTGAGGTGGTGCAAGTCATTGGAAACATGTCCACATGGACCACTGTGTCACCACCTTCCAAAATGGTGTATGCAGCTGAATAGAGGAATAGCACTGGCTTGCCCTTTGGACTGGAGCAATGTGCTGAAATGTTAGACATGGCTAGAATGTTTCAGTAGCTCAGTTCTTGGAGTTTCTGGTGAAATCAACCCTCGTAACTACACATTGTTTTTGTGAAATGATTTCAGTGAGGAGTTGTGCAACCTTACAGTAATAATCCTTCCTTTCAAAGCTTTGTGTGATAAATTAACTCCCTATGTACCTAGTATTCTTCCACTACCTTGTGATCTGGCTGCTTTTGAACTCAGAGAAAGACTTTCAAACAAATGTAGGCATCTGTTCATGTGGATAGCCAACAGTCCAAACTAGTTTCTAGTTTAATCAGACCCATGTTCTGATGAAGGCTATGGCCTCTATTGCTGTATCCAGTACCACCTTTGCTGTCAGCCAGTCTCTCAGGGTTGTCATGTCCTGAAATTAACTCATATTTATGAACTGGTTTGTGTGTGCTAGCATATGATGCTTGGAACATCCTTGAAAGGTAGGTTAGCAATCAGGATGAAGTTGTCCTGTAGGTGTCGGGGTTTTCAGCACATTTTAGAGTTCAGAGAACTATTATTGTGGTCTCTCTTCACGATGTTTTATCTTTTAGCTAGACTTCTCAGGCTTTTAGTTCAGTGCTGCAGCACTAATTATAACTAGCTAAAATTATTGTTTACATGAGGATTGTTATTACTGATTACATTAATATAACCATTTTCAGGTGTTTATCAACATTGTATCAAGATCCTGACTGGTCGCAGAAAGACCTTCAAGGTGCCATCAGAAGAGCTCAGAGTACTGTGTCCAGCAGCAAAGCAGGGGCATTTTCCCCAGAACGACTGAAATACTATTTCCAGGAGCTGAATGCAATGGAGATTAGTGGACGGAAAGTTTCCTTTACAGATTTGTGGGGCCTTATTGTGGAATATTTCCTACAACAGAAGGTAAGAGAGTTCATGTTTGGATGTGTACTGCTGTTTGTCTTCCAGGTGGGAGCTCTGCCCACCCATGTGTTGTGTGTCAAGAAACCAATTGCTCTCTACCTTTGTGAGCTGTTCTGGAAGAGATGATATTGTGGAATAAACATAAGGAGTTCTCATCTCCTTCTGCCCCGGGTTTCTCAGCACTATTCTTTAGTAAAGAATTTTGAAGTCATATAGGTCAGTGCTACAGAAAACTGTAGCGTTTGTTTGGAATGACTGTTATTAAATTAATGGCTTTTGAACTGGGCAGGTTAAGCCTGAGAGAATGATGTTGGTTTTATAAAATCGTGTTACTGTGCAGTATTTGCTATGCTAATTGAAATCGAAAATCAGAGGGGTAACTAGTTTATTAATGACACCAGACATTCTAAATAAGCAACTGCAGAAATATTCTGGCAAAATCTAACCATATGCATGACAGAGGGAGGAAAAGGGACTTTGAATTAGTAGTATTGTTAGTTAGAAATGCTAAGGAACAGCTTCAAGTTATCGTTCAAAGTATGGGTACAGAACTTATCTGACTAGTGTGCTTCTCTTTCTTTGCTTGTGACCAGGAAGATCCATCAAAGCTGTCTGATCAGCAAGCAGCAGTGAAATGGGCCCAGAACCCCTATCCTATCTATGCAGCTGTCAATGTGAGACCCAATATTAGCAGTGGTGACTTTGCAGGTATGAACATGGGAAATTTTATTTTTGTTTGCTAAAATCTATAAATTTTTTTTACTTATCCATTTCCTTGGGTAGTGAGTAGCTGACAACAGGAAGCATGGCTCAAGCAGCAGTTGGTAGTGCAAGAGTCAATAGGATACGGATTGGCAGAGTGTTATGACCCTGATCGCAAATCTCTTCATCATGGCTGTAACAGAAAAATGAGATTCAACTGTGGTGGCCACTCCACATGTTTTGCTAGAAAGTGCCTGAAATTTTCAGGAGCTGAGAGGGAAGATTCTGATAATACTTGAGTCTGTGTCTAAATTAGAGAATTGAAGTCCTTGGTAATTAGGTGACCTAATTTCTTTTATAGTCTCAGATAATCAATTTGTGTAGGATTCATGTAAAATGATGGATTTGCAACCTTGTAGCATGCATGGTCAAAATTGTATTTAGCAGCCTGGGTTCTTGCTAGTTATACAATTACAGTAAAAAATGAAGGCCAGTCCTATTCCAGGTCACTTGAAACTTTTAATTTGATGCAACAAATTGAGCATAGATACAGTGAGACAGGAACACAAATGCTTGTGTCCATCTATGTACCACTATGGGACTTTTTGTTTTCTTCTGGATGAGTGTGTGCATATGACAATAAATTTGATTTGTAAATATTTGTGGAAAGCTTTCAAGAAGAGGTGATGCTTTGATAAGCAGACAATGGAGTCTGACGGTGGGTCAGTTGAGTTTTCAAGTCAGTGCTGTAATAGTTGCTGAGAGATAACTACTGTGAAGAAAGGCTGAGAAAAGTGAGGTAGCTTCCATTTGTGGTGGAAAAGGGAGCCATCAGAATAGTTTAGTAGAAGTAAAATAAGCAGATTATTTCTGCAGTAACAAAGTCAAGATGGAGCAAATTTTTTTTTTTTTCCCCTGAAAAGCCAGGAAGAAAGGAGGTTGTATTTAGTCAATGAAAGCCTGTACAAGAGTTTTTATTAATCAGTGTAAGATAGAGGCTCACTGAGAAGAGTGACAGGGAAATCCATAGTAATGGTGAAAGAAGTGGAGGGAGACTCCTTTCTGTCTCCCTTGTGTGAGCAGAAATCAAATGAGTATTTTCACCTATGTTTACTCTGAGATGAGTAAATATCCTGTTGGCTTGTTCTTAGAATGGTGCGAGTTCACTCCCTATGAAGTTGGATTTCGCAAATATGGAGCTTTTGTCCGAACAGAGGACTTTGACAGTGAGTTCTTCATGGGACGGCTCGTCCGGAAACGTCCAGAGCCTAGGATTTGTTTTCTACAAGGTATAATCTTACAGTAATGAATAAAATGGGGGGATGGAAAGGAGCTATGCTGCTTTTTTGGATTCATCAATTTAAACCCATGCCTTTTTGTCCCTTCCTAAAGAATTTGAGGAAAGAAAAGAATGTCAAACCTTTCTCTGAAGGTTTGGGTGTAGGTTCATAGTATTACAATCTGATGTCCTGAGTCAGCAAGAAGACTCTATTATAAGCTGCCTGTCGAAAACTTCTGCTTTAGGTCTTCTCATTCTCTTGCCATCTTTCCCTTGTTGATATAAGAGCTTTTCTCTTGGAGAAGTTTTTGCATTATAATATTATGTCAGAATTTGTCACATGATTAACTCAAAGGTTTAAACTCAAACATCACCTGTTAGAATAGTAGGGGTCAAGTGACAGCCTTCTCCCATGACAAATGGTAGCTGACTTATAAGCCTTTCAGTTACACTGTGAAAAGCCTTCTGAGTATTAAATTCTTTCATGTTTCTCCTGCAGGAATGTGGGGTAGTGCCTTTGCTGCAAGCTTGGATGATATCTGCCTCAAGGTGGTTGGTATAGGACTGGGCTTTCTTGATTCTTTCAAAGATGTTATCAAAATTGTAGGTAAGAACATACATTAAAAAAAGTAGAATTTTTCAAAAGTTTCCTGGTTTTGGAGTGATCATAAAATAATATGACTCAAAAATGTGCCGTGTGTAATTTTCAAGATTAACATAAAAGACGAATTTGGGCAGATCTGTCTTGTATTATGTATTCTTCCATTCCATCACACACATAGTGAAGGAGGTAATTACAGTTTTTCAGTATGCTTTCTCTTGCTTTTTTTTTTTAAATTTTGTATATAACGAACTATAAATTTGGGCTAGTACTGGGAGCTGTCTTAAACACATACTGTAGTGCAGGGGTCTTAATCATGAGAAGAGGAAGAATAGAAGCTGGACTGCTAAGCAGGAGGTGGAAAATAGGTTTTCTGTTTCCTCCTTGGCCTGATTTTTATAATCTGTGATAAGATGGTTGTATGTTTATACATTTTTCTCCATTTGTACAATGCCTCCCTAGCAGTGGAAAGGAATTGTATTACAGGCTGAGAGCTGCTCAGGTGTATAGTTATAGCCTTATAGTAAGTGGTGGTGGGGAGATTTTTTTTTCTTCTCTGCTTTTGCAGCCCTAGTTTTTCCCCCCACACACTGTTGTTGTTGTAGTAACTATAAATGCTACTGTGTGTGGATGACTGTCGTTGTCTTATGAGACAGAAGTGGTTGTTGCTTGGTAAGAAGGGTTTCTTTGTGTGGGTTTGAAATGAATGTGGACAATGATTTACGAGTAATGCTATTCCCTTTAAACAGTGCAGTGAAATTATCCAACTATAGAATATTAAGGTTATTTAAATTTCATTACAATACTTTTTTTATTAGAGGAGAAATTCAACCTTAGGACAACTGGTTAAATATTGTAGAAAAAAGTCTGATTGACATGTTGGAAATGGACAAGCATTTTCTGTGTGTTCTGCATCCTTCTGTGGCTTCTGTAGATGACTGCCGAAGATTCCATTTCCAAGATCCAACACGACTGAAGACTCGCTTGGTAACACCTGGGGGCCCCTTGTTACAAATTTTTCAGGATTTCTTCAAGTCCCGGGTCACATGTGGAGAAACCTTCAACTTCATGCAGGGATTGTATCTTCATAAAGATTATGTTAACATCAAGAAATTTGTGGCTTGGAGAGGTAAATGAGTCTATATGTATCTGGGTTATAAAACAATGTGTTAATATTCTGTAACAGTCAATGTTATGGAACATAAGTGAGCTTGACTTGGTTCCACTGAAGTCAGGGAATTTACCCCTTCTTATACCATAGCAAAAAATTTGATCCACTATGTATGTTCTGTCGCATAAGACAAGCTCATCATCAAACTTTACAGGTCAGTCTCAGATGAATGTGCATGTTAGAATGTCATTTTCCTTAATAGCCCCAGCATGAGCTTTGTTTCTTGCTTGTACCGAGAGGTGTGTAATGAATCATTATAGTTACTTGTGTTACTTGGAGTGTCTTCCAGGAACTCATCTGGATGCATTTCCCAACCAGTTGACCCCCATGGAAGAGAGCTTGTATTTAGTGGATGGCGGCTTTTCTATCAACTCTCCCTTTCCTTTGGTACTTCAGCCAGAGAGGGATGTGGATGTTATCTTGTCATTCAATTTTTCCTGGGAAGCTCCGTTTGAGGTGAGACATGTAGCTGAGCATTATTACAGGAAGATAAAAGCACAGAATCATATTCACAATGGCAGCAGTTCAGTTGATGTTGAAAACAAACACTAACAAAAGAGTGCATTAAAAGAAATCCTTACCTCTTTCAAATATTGTTGTACTATGGTTTGTTCTGTGAATGTCATGAGAGGATGGAAAATGACAACTGTAATAAAATTTAAAACTTTTTGGAAGCCGAAGTAGATTGTTATCTAAAATAAGAGTATTTGCTTAGCTCATATGATCCTTGCTACTTAGATTTACGTTTCTAATGGAAAAGTGGCTATTGGTGATTTTCTTCATGCAAACAAGTTATTTCCTGTATCTACAAGTGTTATTTTTAAGTGCAGAAAAGTCAAAGTGAATATATTTAGGGTAATAAAACATAACAGTTTGCAGCTGAAAAAAGATCTCAGTTCTCCTCTTCATTCTTCTTCTGTATCACCACCCAGAGAAATTGTTTCTGCCAATTTGAAGTTGGATTTCTGTCACTTTTTTTTTGTGAAAGTCTCTCTCCCTTGGAGGATTGTAGTTAGATGACCTTGGAGGTGTTGCTGGTATTCTATCAATTTTTTTTTTGTTCTTTGACAACAGGTTTTAGAGCTGACTCAGAAATACTGTGAGGAACGGGAAATTCCTTTTCCAAAAATCGAATTGAGTGAGGAAGATGAAAAGCAGCCAAAAGAGTGTTACATGTTCGTGGATGATGATAATCCAAAGGCTCCAATTGTGCTTCATTTCCCATTGGTGAATGACACCTTCCAGAAATACAAAGCTCCAGGTAAGGGGGCTGTATCTTAAAGAGCTATTTTTACAATTCTTTGGGTATGTTGATGGGGAAAATTCAGTGGGTTCAGTGACCATCCTTTCATTCTTAATATTACCCTGTAATTATTAAATTGCTACTTTCATTTAAGGCAGCCTCCACTAGTTTTTTTTCGAAGGGAGAGTGGGAGAAGAGGCTGACAATTAAAAAAATAAAAATCTAAAGATTAGAAGAATCAAAATTAGGCAATATTTTTGCTTTTTTTCTGAACCTTTCTGTCATGATACCAGATTTTGTTACTTCTAATTACTCTGAATATATAGGAAAGCACTATAAATCAGATTAAATAATAAGTTAATTTGTTTATTGGATATGAGTAAACCACTAAGCAGCAAAGTGTTGGGGACCAATCTGTGTGTCAGGTCATGTAGCTGAATGCTAACTGTCCTGTGCCCTTGTAGTGTAATGTCAAGTCATAAACAATCCTTTCTTCATTTAACGTGATTAATACACACTGTAAGGCCCACCTCAGTCTATCAAGCAAGAGCACGGGGATGAAACATAGAGCTATACTTTTAAGAAGAGACAGACAAAATTCAGTGTCCTATTTCTCCTGTGCTTGGAGGAAACAGCATCCTGAAGAAAACCTTTGGAATACATAGAAAAGTACATGCAGAACTGATGCAGGCAAGGGAGATGTAAGGCACTCTGTTAATGCTATCTGTATTAATACTGTAACGATTGCTAGGCCCTGGCTGCATTTCCTCATCAACAATGAAGAGTTTCAGTGTTGGACTTGAATATGGCTCAAGACTACTATAATAGTGACAAGTAAAAGTGTTTTTAGCAAACTACTTTAACGTTCATCTTTCAAGACTGGTATTTAAACTTAAGCAATCAGGTTTTAAAAACATAAGTTACCATATTTTGAAGAGTATATGCTAACATCCTAAGGTCAGCTGAACTAAGAGTGTTAGTGTCTTTTAGTGTAGAAAGCACTTCCAGGAAGAACTGAGCTTTATATTTCCTATTTTGAGCATGATAATTATGGATGCATTAAACAATTCATCACAGTCCTGTATTTTGGAGTCTAGTGGAAGAAGAAAGGGTAATAATACTTTACCTTCAGCTTCCAAGCATTTTGTATCCTGAAGGACCTGAAATCTCTGAGGAGGAGCTTTAGGGAAAAAGTTAAAGTTCAACAGAGTTATCTGTGATACCTTCCTTGCAGAATGCAACTAAATGACTCTACCACAGCTGGTTTTTTTGTGTGTGTGCTTTTTTTTTTCCTTGCTGCAGGAGTTAAACGTGAGTCAGAAGAGGAGAAATCCTTTGGTGACTTTGTTATTGAGTCAAAAGATTCTCCTTACCGTACACTAAATTTCACCTTTGAGCCATACGATTTCAGCAGGTTAGTGGCAGTAAATTGCTACAATGTTCTGAACAGCAAGGACACTCTCTTCAAAACCCTGAACTTGGCACTGCAAAGGAGAAAGTTGAAGAAAGTCATCAATACGTCCAACACATGAGCAGCTTCCATAGCTGAGGATACAAACAGTCTGCAGTGTATGAAAGCCATGTGGTTCAAGACAGAATACTGGAAACTCCCTTCTTGGGAAGGGAGTAGCACATGTGGCACTGAAAATTCATTCCAGATAACAGATCTTACGTAAACCCAAGGGATGTACAGTACAACATGGATGTTGCTTTGTCGTGGGGGGGAAGAGTAGGGAATTATCTAGCCCAGTATCTCATCTTACAGTGGCTGATACCAGATGACTAGGGAGGTCTATTCAAACTGTTCAAGCATCTGAAGAACAATCTTCCAAACTCCACTGAGTGAAGCACCTATTTTTGTCAAAGGTGCAGTGATGTTTATGGAAACACTGATTTCTTCTACACTTTTATCTCTCTCACTTTTTGAACCCTCCCTCCATGCACTTTTACAATTTACATCATCTGGCAAGGAACTCTACAGATAGTAACTATGCACTGAGAGAGGAAATGTGTCTTTTTGCTTTCAACTTGCTACTGGCTGATGCTCATGTACTTTCAAGACTGAACAGTCATTATTTCATTTCCATTTTTGCCATTCATAGTTTCAAAGATCTCTGAGATATTTCATTCCTACACTTCTCAAGGATTACAATGGCTTTTAGTCTCCCAAAAGTTCAATATAGAGTACCTTACTTTGGTAACCATTTGTTTTTGAGAAAATAATAGTTCCCTTTTTTATATTTAACAATGACAGACACATCATGGGATTCTGTTGCTTCTACAGTTTGATCATCACAAGCTGATGAAACTTTAAAAATGCTCTCTCATCTTTCTCTTTCTGTGTAAGAGGAAGGAAGGCTCCTTTAAAGAGTCTGAATTAGATATTTTTTCCTTACACTTGGGCTTCAATTCAGCCAGACCTTTGTTCAAGAAATTTCTGTGTGTGTCTATGTATTTTAGAAACATCAATATTCAAGGTAGGCACACCTTATGAATGTGAATGAATAATGTGAGACGCTGTTGTGCTGTGGGATGGAATTCACATTGCTTTGCACAAAGCTCAAAGTGCTGAATTATGCAGTTGGAAAATATTTAATAAAAAAGGACAGCAAACAAACACTGTTTACTTCTGTGGCTTTTACATTGAGCTGAATACTGATTCTGTATGTGAAAACCAGAGACAAGTAATTTGTCTTTTCTGAAATGATGTAAAGACATAAACGGGTATGATTCTTGATATATTTTTTAATGTGTTTCTCTTTTAATAAATATTAGTTTTGTTAATGTGCTTTTCACAGTTTTTCTTATGAACAGTTGTCTTGATATATTTTTCCTTATTCCAATAAAAATAAGCAAAAAAGTCAATATAATACTATATTGCATAAATTCTTTTATTACATTTGGATACCTGACAGAGGGAAAGTGACTTAGCAAGTCTGTCTTGTACTGGTACTGCACAGCAGTAGAAAGTAATCTCTTCATTGAAAGACTTCTCTTTGAGGAAGCATGGCTCAAAACTGAATTTTTTAGATGTATTTCAAACAATGGCTTCATCTGGACAATTAAACTTCCTTGATATTTGGAATGATGTATCCTTTATGTCCTTAATACTTATTTACTTAAGCTGAAATAAGAGAAACAGCAATTCAATGTTATCATGTTTCTTTATAACTGGTGCTGCACAGCTACCTGCTTTGTAGGGTTTGGATATCTGTCATATTTGCTAAGTGACTTTTGTGTATTTTTCCATGTAAGTTTTTCAAGTATTCTTGCCTCAGCTGCCTTTCAGCCTGCCGCCATGCCTTTGAATGTTTGTTTGTGTAGGATGGGAGTTTCCTTTGTTTCTCCTGAGTTGTTCATGTGGGGTTTGTTTGGGTTTTTTTCTGATGTGAATCTGAGTGCATGGTTTGATTTACTTCTACTTTCTTGTTTTTTGAGGTCTTTTCCTAATTAGAGATGCATGGACACTGTGTAGATATAGGTATTTAGATACCAGGATATAGATGGGAAGGTGGAATGGTTTTCTCCAAAAACTCTGAACAGCAAGGACAGTGTCTTCAAAATCTACTCATATTTGCTAAGCATATACAATGGAGTCTTTTAAGGCACAGCTTCTCTGTAAGTTCTTGCCCAGTGGCAGAGCTTCTTTGTTGGAACAAGATATGAGGCCCTAATAGTTAATTTTAATTTCCTAAACTGGTGTCTAAGTAGTCACCTCATTTGAAACTCCGTGTTATGGCACGAGAGCTGTCAACAAGTCTGTGCACTCACTGTATGGCGTATGTTCCTCCGTTTTGTTAAAATGCTTCTTGTCTTGTAGGAAGAATGTGTCTTTTGTCCTGGTATTTAAATTCAAGCCTAGTTACTAAGGAAAGAGCAGCCTGGCATCCCAAGTCAAAGGAACATTCAGGAGAAATGGGAAGCAGATAAGTTTGGGGTTGCTTTTTTTTTTGTGGGTGTGTGGGGGTTTTTTGTGTGTTTTTTGTTTGTTTGTTTTGTTTGTTTGTTTTTTTACTCTGAATCCCAGGGTTAGAGTTATCTTACAAAGGAGTGCCAATGGGGAAAGGAACCCTGAAAATGGGAGGAATGCACTACATTTTTTTTTTGTCCTAGGAAGAACTTGCATGGGTGCCCACAAGAGCAGGTATGCATACAGGCTGCACGTTAGTCCAGAAAGATGATGTGTACAAAAATAGTCCATAGGCTAACCTTCTTTCTAATATCTTAGCTTTATTCCAAGGAAGGCCTGGTTGGTAAAATTGATTGTTCTGAGATAGAGTGCATTCAGCTAATTGAATATTTCTCATGATTCATATCTTTTCATAATCCAAACTACCCATTCAGTGGTTTTCCTGGTATCAAACACTTGCTCATTTGCCAAGAATACTTAACAGCTCATCATATTAGTGTTCAAAAGGCAATTTCTCAGCACGTGAAGTTTTTTGGTCACCATTGTATGGTGTCCTGTAGGACACGAACCACTTTAGAACACCATGGAATTTTACTTGCCAATTTTCCTTCTCTTGCCAGGATGTAGAACATGAAGTGGTGTCCCTGATGTACTCTTTGCTATGTTGTAATTGTGACTTATGATTTTAGACAGGCAAAATTTATCATGAGGTTCTGGCAAATGTTTTGTGGCCCTGCTTTGTGGTGATTTAGGAAAAGGGAAGTTCATGTAACCTTTCTTGATTATTCTGTCACTGTCTGCACCTAGTGGATCTGATAACTCATGCATCCCTTTCAGTCTTTTTTTTATATATAAAGCAGGGTCCATTGAAACACTTTTTATTACGTCTTTCATGAAAAGCTTATTATAGAAGAATTTCTGTATTCCACAAATAAAGGTGTTTATATATATACACAGACGTATACATTGGAAGATTGTTGGATAATGGAGGAAAAAACCCCATAACAAATATTTTATTGACTCGGTGTTCTTGGTGAAGGGAACTTGGACCATTTAAGTAACCTCATCTTCAGATTAATCCTATGAAATAATTCAAAGTATTTCATATACTACTCTAGAGAGAGAGTGTGCAGGGGCTTGGAACTGCTGTTACCAACTGTTAGCCCAAGAGTGCTTCCTGGCCTCTCATTTCAGTTTCTCCTATCCCTGCCCTTCTCTGTGTCTCAGATTGTCCAAAATAACAAATTTTGTGTGTAGCACTTGAGGGCCATATATGGCTGATATTGGTGCTGCAACAAAGCTAATAATGAATAGTATTAAAAATTGAATTGATGTACTTCATATGGTAATACTGTTGTAGATATGGGCACAGGATCCTGATCCTGACTGTTCCATCTTTCTATGAGCAGCCTCACATAGCTGCCTTTTCTGTATTTCCTTTCTTTCAAATGTGTTGCTCAAAATCTCTGTCTAAACCACACTGGAGGAAAAATCCAAGTCCTGTCTCTACTTTGTGGGTAGTCCTGTCTCTGATTCTTCTGGTTGGTTGCTTTGGGCTTCCAGAAGCTAGTGGGGCAGCTCCAGGGCATCAAGGGACTCCTAACAGAAAAACAAATAAATTCAGTGCTCTAAAACCAGGCTGGATTACTACACTTACTGTTGTTCACGCTATGGGCTTGAGGTCCAGCTGAGCAAGTCTGTAGTGCAGACAAGGTCTGAGCCTGTGCGTGGCTTATGTTTGCAGACAAAAGCTATCTGTGAGTGGGGCAGAGTCAGTTGTCAGAGCAGCAAGTAGAGACAACAGATTTGCACCATCATACAATTGTCAAAGGGGTTCTGGCTGTGCTCTGGGAATCAACTGAAGATGTCAAAGGAAGTGGAGAAACTGAGTCCTAAGTGAGACCAACTTGTTTTTACAGCACTTTTGTATTTGTCCTGTGGCAGGATAGCTTGGGTTATTCTAGTTCTTCATAAACATTCAGTGTGAATGATTTGTATAAGTGATAAGCATTTAAATGAATCTGGATTTACACACCAAAGTAGCTTAATTTATGTGCAAGAAGTAACAGCTCTTCAGGATTGCGTTTTTCTCCTCTGTTCCAGGTAAGACACTTTGGTAGCCTTCCATAAAATAATTAATTTCTAAAATATGGAGAAGGAGGAAAGAACAAGGAAATGGTGTCTTATATATACAGATAAACCCAGAAAATCTAGGAAGTTTAAGTACTTAGAAGGGTGGAGTACTAAACTCCTGCTTATTCTGTAGGAAACCACATGTGATGATTTGCAGAAAAATAAGGCTTGGCAGCCATTTCTATGGTAACGAGTTTCCAAAGGGTAAGGGAGGAACAAAGGGATGATCCAGTTGGAAACATCATGGCTTAGTATATATAGTACATGGATTTTTTTTATGCAGTCCTTAAACATGTAAAAAATTGATTATACAAAGCTGCCTTTGAAAAAAAGTGATGAACAGGTTGAGAGCTTGTGAGTGAAAATTAGAGGCTGAGCTGACAAAGGAAACCTCATAGTTGGTGCTTCCTATAGGCCACCTGATCAAGGGGAGGATGAGCAAGATAATACCAGAGTTATTTCCTAAAGAGCCTTAAAAGAGCATTCACA